GCTTGGGACATCCCTTCCTGCAGTCCCCTGCAGGTCACCACTTCTCCAGGAGTTCTCAAGGATAATAGGGACAAAGGTTTCCTCAGACAATGAGCCAGTTCCTCCATCTCCCAGGATGCCTTACATCTGACCTCGGAGAGACTAAATCAGGATTGTTAGAATTTCTGAGCCCAACGGAGCTGGAACACTCTTTCCCCACCTGGCATTTCCCAGCTGTGTACTGTGTTCTCCAAGAGGTCTGGAGCAAAATAGGAGCTTAGAGGCTCTGACTTCTCTCCGTTGCCTCTTAGCAAGTTGCTTTCTCCACTGAGCAGCTGGCTTACAAATTATTTTCTTATCTATCTAAAGAAGCCCCTGTTTCATTCTTAGCACCTTTCAGTATTTTCAGCTTCTTCTGAGCTTCTGCTTTCCTGATACCCTCCCTACACTCCCGAGCCACCTGTCTTCTTTCTCATCCCTCTTTCCATTCATATACGTGCCTTTTTTCATTTTCAGGTTCGCAGTATTTGTGTTTGTTTCTCCTGTGTGCCACCATGACTTTCACTGACCCAGGTGGAGAAATACTACCTATGATCTTGGTTCAATACTACCTATGATCTGGCCTATTCAAACACCCTAAAACAGCAACTGCCTTTTCAGCAGCTGCATCACATTGTTGACACATGTTCAGGTTCTGATCTACTAAAATGCCCCGTTCTTTTCCAGATGTCCTTATACTTCTGTTTTTCACTTTTTCTCCCCAGATGTCCTTCCCAATTTTCATCAGATGTAGTCCTTCATGTAAACTTCAAGCCAAGTCCATGGTTGAGGAATCCAGTCCTTCTTGCTGGCTCCATCTACATAGCTAGATATTTACTTCCAGGAGGCTATTGTCTCTTCTTATGCCATGACCCACAACTGGAAGGACTGACAAGCCCCTTTTGGACTTTTTGCAGGAAACAGAAAAAAATACGATATATGGATTTGATGATTAGTTAAATTAATAGATTATATAAAATATGTATGTTAAGATGTAGTTTTAGAGTAAGAGGTTATTATATGATTCATTTATATCTGCCGTATAAGAAACTGGAAGTTCTTCTTCTTCTATTTATTTTTCCCCCTTTTTTTCTCTGTTTTCCACGCTTTTGTTTTCTTTCTTTACTTCTAGTTTTCTTGCGTTCTACTCTTCTTCTTGACTATTACTTCTTGTTAGTTTTTATCCTTTTGCTTTTTACAAAAGTTCTTTTTTTAAAAAAAGAACAAGGTAAGGTGCTTTTCCAGAATGGCTGCCTTGGGGGAGTTGCCTCTCTAAATGGAAAACCAAGCCCACCGATCAAACTGCTCCCCCCACTTGGCACCCCAAATGTTCCCTAGCATTCTGCTTCCTGACCCTTTTTCTGGGTAGGAGGGCAACCTTTCCAGTCCAGCCGGCCACCTCTTCCTGCTTAGACTTGCTAAGAAAGCCAGCAGGATCCCCCACCACTCTTGCAAATGAGGAGGATAACAGAGGCCGGGTCTTTGCTCTGCAGTGGGCCAGTTTCTATCATCTTCATCATCATCATTTGAAACCAGTGGGGAACACATTCTGGCAAGTACCAAGGGAGGTTCAGCAGGGTGGCTCTCCCCACATTGCCCCATGCCAGGGGTCTCAGCAGAAAGAAAGAAGGAGAGACTACTGGGCCAGATCGTCTTAAGCAAGCCAAAAATAAGTCCTCTGTCTCTTCCCCGGGTGAGCAGAGGCCTCCAACATGACAGAACCATCTGTACAACTGTGGTGGTTTGTCCCTCCAGGAAAAGAGATGCTTGAGGAATTCAGTCCTTTTGAGTTCCAACATGAGCTGATCTCTCCAGCTCTTCAAATGCTCAAACAGGCATGACCCTTCCTGTGGATGGTCACCCTCGCTGGACTTGCCTCCAAAACCAGGGATTAAATTGGGTTTAGAAATTCATGCATCAGAAGGGGGTCTGACTTTCTGGCCAACAACTTCTTCTTACAACTCTAGGATTTAATTAAAGCGTTTATTTAAATAGGTGCTTTCATTCATTCATTCATTCATTTGGTTTGGACAACCACCCAACCCACAACCACTCTGGATAGCATACAAATGAATTAAAAACAATAGTTAAAAATAAATACAGTATCAAAATAAGCAAACCAAAGATGCTGATCAATATATTACTATCATCCTGGAGACAGACTCACTCCACCCTCTGGCCCAGCACCCAGAGGAACAGCCAGCTCTTCAGAGCCTTCCTTATAAGGGCCAACAGGTGAAGATTTCTTACCTTTCTAAAGTAAAGGTTAACATGGAAACAAATAGATTGGACTTAAGAGTGATTGCATGCAAGGAAGCACAGCAGGCAAAAGAAATGTGGTCAAAGATAGAAGGGAGGAAGGATTTCTGGGCGACCTATCTGAAACATCATATCTTTATTTATTTTATTATATTTATATAACACTGTGTTCCACAAGAACTACTAGAGTTTGGCAACAGTAAGAACAGCAATAGCAGAATTAAAACTAAAGTAATATCAAGTCAGAGTCAATAATACAAAAAGATGTCTAGTCATCACTTCCCAAACAACCTCTGGAACTACTCAATTATTGTCAACGTCTGGAAAGCCATCAGAGTGGATATTAACGCGACCTTGTAGCCTGGAGTTGGAGGGACAGGTTCTCATTGGCCATTTAGGGATCCTTCCATTGGGATTCCTGCACTAAGGATGGGGGGGGGGGGGTCCCAGGGCTCCCTTTCTGACTCCAAGAGTGGAGGGACCAATTAATGTGAGTTCCCTCCCACTCTCCTTCATAAAATTAGGAAGACATTAGAGCAGAATTTGCCATGGGCACAAGCCCCAGACTTCTGAACACAATGTTAATTATATAAATTAACCTGGTTAAGGTCATCCAGCTTCTGAGATACTGCTAGAAGGGGAGGAGAGAAAACGCAGACTCTTAACAGTAGCCAACACCAGGAGCTTCACAGAACCTTCTGAGCAGAAGAAGTCTATCTGATCACTGTGATGTCAGCAAACTTAAACTAGCAAAAGAACCATTCTTAAAACCACTTTAGTTAAGATCTAGGAGCTCTCCAGAAACATATGAAAAACTGTACTTAATCACAACCTTGCCGCATTTTTTCCTGCTCATTCAACAGCTCACCACTGGGGAAAAAAAGGATTCCACATCACCACCTAGAGTTTTCTGGCTTCAAGCAATGTCTGAAGCAGAAGCATTCATTAAAAAGGTGTCTGGCTGATAACTTTACAGCAGTCAGTTTGGAAGAAATAACTCAAGGTTTTGGGACAGTGAATAAAACATTTGACCAGAGTGCTATTCAGTGGCCGAAAATCAACCCCGATTTTTCAGCTCCACGGTCCCCTTGGACAATCCCATATAACTGTAAAATGTGGAAGACTGCATCGTGAGGCAGAAACTCTTTGTCCATTGTATCATTAATCAGTCCAAGTTGTACTCACAAAGGATTGTTTTTTAAGGTGAGGAGACACTATGGTTGGCAGGTTGAAGAGTCATACTTTTCAATTCCCTGCTTTACCCAAGATTACTGTAAAACCCAAGTAAAGTAGAAAATATTGTTTGTCCATTTTGAGACTTAGCTGAACTCTATTCTTAGTTCAGAAACTAGGATGAATCTCTGTTTATTTTCCTCAGGTCCTTTGCTAATTTTTTTATTTTACAAATTAAACCAACAAAAATTTTACTCATCCATATTTGAAACTCCTAACAGACTTAACGTCTTAGAAAAACCATATAAAACCTTCTTGTATACTAATAGCATCCAGCCAGGCTCTTTTCCAGAGTCTGTGCTTTTGATTTTAACTCAATGTTGCATCAAGAAAATTCTTCTGCAGACTTTTTTCAATCATTCTCATTCAATTTGATGATAAAACGTCCTTTTGGTTTTGTTTTTTTTTTCAAATAAGAAAAATGTGGTTAAATTCTCTGGGCAAAATGCAAGGGTTTTTGACTCATCTTAATAGAGGTCTCAGACAACCAAAGAGCATGAGTGAATGAGCAAAGTGTCCCAGCTTTTACTGCACAACATCTGCAGCTTCTCAGCATCTCATTCATCCATTAGGACCCCGGTGGGAGGAGACACAATGTGACCTCCTCTCTTGGCAGAGAGGTGGCAGCGTGGTTGAGAGCACAGTGGGAAAAGAAAAATGGTGGCACACGCTAACACCACACCACAAATACAATAAAAAATGCCAGCCCCCAAAATGAAGTTCAAAAGCACTGAGAGGGAGCAAAGGAAGCCAGAACCCGTTTTTGCAGGGGGAAGGAAGCTTGAAGGATATGGAAGAATGGTTTGAGCACTGTAACTTTAAAGAGATGGGACTTTCTGGCAGAAAGGAAAGTGAAGTCACAGCAAAAGAGAGGGAGGAGGGTGGAGCCAGGAGAACTGGGGACACTGTAGAGGGCCAAGACCCCGGAGCTGGTGGGCTATTCAGACCCCCAAGGCTGGTAATTCAAGGGCCCAACAGCAGCCGTGGCAATCCAGAACCAGACAGGAGCTGGCTCCAGTTCATTTCTTAGAAACAGGGCAGGAAAAATAAAAAATGTGATAGCTTAAAGATCACTCGTGAGCAGCAAAGGGTGACCTCCCTCTGGACCACTTCAGAAGGGTTAAACCAGAAATCAATAAGCCCCCTTCACGTCAGTTACAGAGAGTCCCTGAAAGGGGCTTGTTAATTTCTGGTTCCCCCCTCTTCTCTCACGTTCTTTCTGGTTGTTCGTGCTCCCCAGGAGGGTTCCATTGCAAGCCAAGGCTAAGCTTTCAAGGCTCTGCCATTGGGACTGTTCTACAGAGGTTTATTTAGATCTCCTTTCTAAAATATGGCATGACAAGCTCCCCTTCTCCTCTCTCTCTCTCTCTCTCTCTCTCTCTCTCTCATCCTGAACGTGTTCTCATCCCTAGGAACTGCATTCTCTGATTTTCAGCAACATGAGACACCTTCCTGACAGGCTGGCAGTTTTTTCTCTCTTGCACTCTTACCTCAAATACTTCTTCATCCAAGATTCTTGTTCCAAAGACAATGATACCATTAACATCAATGATGGGGTGGTCGCTCCGGTCCAAGAACTTGGTGACCTTTTTTTTACAGTCCAAAATCAGAGTGACATTCTTCTTATGAACACTGAAAGCGACCCGATGCCATCTAGGGAAGAACAGGCCCAGCAGAAGGTTAAAAGAAGCTCCAGATTTCATTGCTTCCCCATGCCCACTTCAGCAAAAGGAGAAGCTTCTAGGATTGCCACAGCATGAAAGCTTCTTCCCTTGACCAGTCATGAATTTTATACTCTATCGCTGCAGAACGGAAAAACTGCAGGCATTATCTCAATTCTCATGAAGTATTAAACCCTAAACCTAGTTTAACAAACCACAATGGCTATGTTCATAACACAAATACCCAAGCAAATAAACTTTGATATGATGGCCTGATTCACACAGCACGCTACCTATTTTAGCCTAGTCTTTCACTTTCCCCCAGGAAATTCCCCAATGAGGCAGCTGCAAAATAAGCAGGGATTCTTCACATGTGGGTGCTCCTTTCTCAACCTATAATAAACAGCACATCACCTCCATGAATGTCTGCCTATTATGTTACTGGAGGGTTTAAGGATCAAAATAATAGTTTAACACATCATTTGAGCAAAAATCTATACTGCCAAAAATGAATTGTAGTGAATGTTGAGGTCACACTGCATGCAACCCGCCCCTGATTTATGGCAATCTTCCCCAATTGAGCAGCTCCCGATACGTTGGCCAACCATGGGAATTCTGGGTATTGCAGTTCCAAAACATCTGGAAGGCGGATTTTATAAAACTGATTTAGGAGATTAAACTCATTTTAAATCCCTTGTGGGCTCCTGCATTTTCATTTCAGTCTAATGCTGTTCCAGCCATAAACAGATTGTTTTGACTACCTGTAAATATATGGAAATTTTTACTGAGTAGGAAAAGATGTTGTCATATAAAAAGGCTTGCCAAATGCCAAAGCAAGGTGTCCGTTCTTTCAGCACACTAGAGAAGAGCTTAGGGGGAGCTCGCTCTCCTTCCACATTTACTCATGAAAATAAAATCCAGATTCAAACTAGTTTTTGAAAAGTAGAGCAGCCTTCTTATCAGGAGGCCACCGAGACAAGAATGGACATGGGAAGTTGTGCCTTTACAGTATTCCCAGAAGGGATGGCCGTAGCAGAGAGAGAGCAATTTCTGAGCAAGTGGGAATGGTGGTTCAGAGTTTATACCATGTCAAGTCTCAGGCCTTCAGTGCACTCTTGCATCCGCTTCCTCTTATCTCTAGCCCGCTTGGTGACGATGCTTGTTTACATTCTCTGCATTCCGGCTCCCTGTTTGGAGAGGTCTCCTGAGATAGGCTGGAACCTTCCAGCCACCAACTGAGCCCTGATGTTTCTGAGGACAACCCTGAACATATTCGCTTTTCAAGTGGAATTATCCTAGCACGAAACAATCTCCAGGCATTAGCTGTGAGTATTAAATGCTCTGGGAATTAGATTTAATAGATAGCCTAAGACAAATTTTTATTTTCCACTGGAAAAAGGCACGCTTACCCGTCAACACATCTTTAAATCTAATGAACGTTATTCGTTGGATGTCTTATCCCCATATAATTCCATGGCTGCCGCTTTCTTTTTTACCGCCATAATTGGATTTGTGTCTCATTATATTATTCCACTTGCATTTTTCTACCTGTTAACTGCCTTTCCTCTTATTTTTCTTAGTCTCATGCATTAGAAGCCTTAAGTACTTTGGGGAATCAGATGGTGAAACACAGAATATTTTTCAGTGGAAAATACAAAATGAATAAATAACTAAATAATAAATAGTAAGATTTTAAAAAATGGGAAAGGCAAAAACCAAAGTCTAATCATGTCAACTAAGCAAAGAATTTGTGCCTGGGCATCTCTGCTTTTTATTTTATTTTATTTTATTTATTATTTTAGCAAGTTTCTAGACCACACGTTTGTAGACGGACCTGAATGTTTGTGAGAAGCCCAAGGAGGGCCTTTCCAGGGTTTTCCAAGTGATGACAGCCCCAACAGAACTCAGTCTTTCCCCGCATTTGGCAAAAACGGACTTACAGAAGAAGGGCCCCAGGCAGACCCAGAATTCAGCTTTCTCTTGGCTCATGTCTTTGAAATGGCCTGGAGAGGGGGAGACGGATACAGACTCCCCCAGGGTTGCACAGCCTTTTTCCGTGCGGGCTTCACCGTCAGGAGCTCTTCTCCTGAATGCCAGATCGAGGCCTCCTAGGGCTACAAGAGGCCATGGGGGCATCCGAACTAAATCGCCCCACACAGATGGCTGTCCAGCCTCTGCCTGCACACATCCCAAACCCCTTCGCTCCTTGGCTCCACTCACCCTGCCTGCAAGGGAGCTTTCCCTAATATCCAGCTATGCAGCCAGTGGACTGAAGACCAAGAGAAGTGGCGAGTTCAGTCCTGGACGGGAGGCGTTCACACGAAGAGTCACAGCCATCTGTTGCAGAGAGTTTTAATTTGGATTCACAGACTCCAACTTTACCTTGGGTTCAACATGTGATGGGAACCCAACCCCTGTCTTACCACATTGTGCAAAGTAGGCCATCACATAAGACACAACATTGCTTGTTTATTTGTTTGGGCCTAGCATGTGGTGTTAACCTGAGTTCAAGTGTTATGCATATGATTTTATGACCTGCTATCCTCATTCCCTGTTTGGAAGGTGCCTGGAGGCCTCCTACTGGGCCACTTCTGAAGACAGGTTTTTGGAGCTTCACAACATCCTTCATTCCTGAACATGTCATCTCCTGAAGGACTACTACCGAGCAGCCAAACAAAGAAAACTCTGGAATTCCTCCCCCGACCCCCGACCCCCAGTTTCGCTCTGGTTCACGCACTTGCCGTCCGAGAGGTTGATGCCCCGGAAGAGAGGATAGTTATCCGGGCCCGGCTTCTCCATGTGATCCTCATACAGGAAAACTGGGGATCGTCCCAACTCCACACCAATCTGTTGGATGCCTTGCTCGTTGTAAATGGAGATCAAGAAAGACTGGCCTCCCTTCTTGGCTTTTACCGTGGTTAGGATAGAGAAATCTTCAGGAAATGGAGATGCTGGAAGGAGAAAAGGGAGCGGAGCAAAGAGCTGGATCAACTTCTCTCTGAAGGCCACAATGGCGGAGTTGGGTTGGAAAGGTCAACTAAGTGAGGAGGGTCTGCTTTGGGTCTTTAGGTACTAGTATGACTAATGACATCCAAAACTGGGAGATGCTTCAGTGTCCACGCAGAGACACCTACAAATACAGCACGACTCCATGAAGACTTAGGATCCTTTAGGATCTCTCAGGAATCTCTCACTCCATGAAGCATGTGGTTCGTGGCATTCCAGGCCAAACAACTGGATGCTTTACAGAGCTGACAGCGGCAAGAGAAGCGTAACACCAAGATCCTCAAACTACCAGCTGGGGAAAACAAAACCTTCTAATTAGCCCCAAATATAGCCTGCCTTGGACTGGAGAGCCCTTCTGTGGAGCTACGTGTCACTGCATCTGCCCTCTCCGAGACCCTTTTACTGTCAAATCCCCAAGCAGCATTTCCTTTTGAAAACTGCTCTGCAATTACCTCTGTTATCTTTATCTCGCTATCCGCTCATTTGCTTGTTTGGAGCTGAACTAACATCTAGTTACTTGCAGGACGTGTGTTATTAAACAAAAGGAGCGGAAAAGTTCAGCGAGGCCTAGGCAGCCTCCAAGCGCTAAGCCGCCGTGCCCTTCGGAGGGAGGGCGCAGTTTTGCACGCCAATCTGCCTTTGCGCCCGGCCGCAACTTCCAAGCCTCTTTTCATGGCCGGGGCTGAGCCTTGGATTACGCAGAGAAAATGCCTGGCATTTTGGCTGCCTGATCAAAGCAACCCGCTGCTTCCCTCCACATTCCTCAGGCGTTTGCCAAGTGGGTCTTCCAGATACACCCTAAACGAGCTGCTGCCCTCCCTGAGGATAGATCTGCCGCTGCCGCTGCTGCTGCTGCTGCTGCTGCTGCTGCTGCTGCTGCTGCTGCTGCTGCTGCTGCTGCTGCTGCTGCTGCTGCTGCTGCTGCTGCTGCTGCTGCTGCTGCTGCTGCTGCTGCTGCTGCTGCTGCTGCTGCTGCTGCTGCTGCTGCTGCTGCTGCTGCTGCTGCTGCTGCTGCTGCTCTGCTCAGAAGGCGAGCCTCTGCCTCACAGGCCAGAACTCCCAGCCGTGGTGACCTTTGCATTTCAGCCGGGCAGACCCTGAATCCACCTGGGCAAAGCAGGAGAGGAAGGAACCGGATGCGCCAGGCTCCCCCAAGGGCCCCAGGCCTGGCCGCCAGCAGGGTGCATGCCTCCTAAGGAGGAAGAGGGTGCCCGTCCTTCCCAGGAAACCGAACTTCTCTTACCAGGATAAAGCTGCTTGGTTGGGGCACTCAGCTGGGCATCCTTGGTTACACGATAGGCCACATCTGCTCCCTTGGAGGACCGCCTGTTTGTGCAGAAGCCCGTCGTTTTCGATATGCCATCGGGTAAATTATGGAAATCTAATACCTTCAACAGATCTGCAGGTTCAGCTGAAAGACAGAGAGAGGCCAGCGTCAGAACATTGGAATCCCAGAGGGGAAAGGAACCCTTGAGGTCCTTTTTTTGCGCCTCTAACAGACAATCGTCCGGCTGCTGCTTGAAGACCTCCAGGGAAGGAGAACTCGCCACTTCGTGGGGCAGCCTGTTCCCCTGGCTGACAGTCTGCACGGCCAGAAGGTCCTCTTGGCAACTAGCCTGAAGCTCCCTCCTTGTAGGCTTAATCCACTGCACAGCCCAACAGTAACCAAAAATGTCAACACAACTTTATTTCAAAGGAAGGAAGGAAAATGGAACAATTTCAAAGAGGAGCAAAGCGTGCAGGACAGCCAATACAATGAAGCCGGTCCTTCAGTTTGCAGCTGATTTTATGGAAGAATTTTCCATTTACGAAAACAACATTTTTCCTGAGTTTATCCATTTAATATACATAAAATAACCTGGCGGATTTTTCCACTCTTCATTCCTCATCATGTACACCTAACTCTGACAACTTTACTAAGCAGCTAAAAGCAAGTTGATGGCAATATTTATATTTATGGCTATTTATAAAAATTAAACATCTAAGTCAGAAAGTGCTGGAAGAAATGCATTGGGTTGCTTCAAGCAGAAGCTGGACGGCCCCAGTGAGTCACGCAGCAGCAGGAGCTGGGCCCGAGGGCTTCTGAGGCCCTCCACACGCCAGGGGCCCAGGAGGAACCGGCCACCCGGGGCTCCCTGTGAGCAGCCGTGCCCCGCCCTTTCCGCCCCGTGTTGCAGGCGCCTCCTTGGCTCACTTGGCCAGGGACACTGTGGGCAGGGGGGCAGCTAGGGAGGAACCCTGAGGCCAAACGCCAGGCCGTGCGGCCGGAGGGGAGGGGGCAGGACCTTTTCAGGCCCCCACAAACAGCAACCACCGAGGCAGCTGAGCACCAGCCCTGGGCTACTAGCATCTCTTGCTCCTAGCCATGCCAGGAAGCCATTTGTAGCCATCAGGACACGGGCATCATTTGACAGGGTCACATTTCCCTTTCTGTGTTTAACGTTCTGGTTCTTTTCAACCAGATGGCCTACTAAAGGCATCCCGCCCTTTAAGCCAGCACTGATCAGGCCTTTCCAATCTAGGTTTCTAACTCCAGGGATTATCATGGAAATGACTTTGTGGCCCTGGCCCCACATGGCTCTAAGTGGTCGGCCCCAGTTTGAACAGGGCGCCCTCAGCCTGGCAGAGCCGGGGAGGTGGGCAGCCTTAAAGCCACCCAGTAAGGCTGAGACATGCAGGAGAGCCTTGGCCCGAGGGAAGAGGGCCCTCAGAGGCCAGGATCAGACCGTACAGGGTGGGCGCAGGGAAGACCCTCACCCAGCTGCTTCAGGGAGGATCCTGCCTGTCATTGGTCTCCAAGGTGGCCAAGGATCTCCAGAAGGCCATCCGGTGGGGCGGGGGGCTGTTCTGCATCTTTCCTTGTGGCCATCTAGGCTGTTCAAAAGGGCTGGGGGAGGTCTCTCTGCCCCCCTTGGATGGCAGCTCAGGGCGAGCTCACCTCCTCCTGCCTGCCTGGCAGAAGGGCAGCCCCCCCTTATGCCCCCCCTGCTTTTATGGGGCCACTGCATAATCAGTAAAAATAGCAATGCAAGGATCCACTTCCGAGAGAGAAAACCTGTCAATGGTTTTGACAAAACTTCTTTTCTTATTTTAATGAAACGAACAGTGCCTCAGGAAGGTATTATGAAAAACCAAAGTTTAATAAACAATAAAAGATGCCAGAGGAGCAATTATTTAAAAAGAACATGAGCATCTTCTTAAGCACACTGGCCATTTTAAGGACAGAGAGGAAACTCTGAACATCTACATTCAATCTTTCTATCCAAGAAGACATTTGTAGAGGTGCAAATAACTGACCAGCATGACTTGGCTGTCATTACTAAACACAGGGACGCTTAACATCAGCCAAGCCATCCTTAACTGAAGGGGTCTTCACCAGCCCAGGTGTGTGTTTTTTTGGTGCCTCTGCTCCTGTGGTTCTCGTGGCAAGATTTTTCGGAAGTGGTTTGCCCTTTTCTTCTTCTTCCTCCCGGGGCTGGGAGAGAGAGACTGGCCAAGGTGTCCCGCTGGCTTCATGCCTAAGGTGGTACTGGAACTCAGGGCCTCCCCCTTTCTAGCCTGCTGCCTTCACCACGACGCCAAACTAGTTCAAGTCCAGGTTAGCCAAACAATATAAACCACATTCCAGCTTAATGGGATGGCCCAGTTCACACGAGATGCTCGGGCCGTTCAAACCGGCCTCACCAGCAAAAGTGCCATGTGGCTGAGGAGTTATTTGGAGTTGGAAAGGCCGGGAACAGAAGGGACTTTTGGGGAGAGGAAAGCCAGCGGTCCTCTGAAGAAGAGCTGACTCGGGCCACCTCTTGGGACGTGCAGAAAAATGCCACCCGATTCCCAGCTGGTTAGAAAGGGCTTGTCTCTTCGTGCAGTGCCAGTGACCTTCCATACAGAAAAAGGATTATCGCAAGGGACAACAGCTGACAATTACGTGCAAGGCAGCATGTCTGATGCCAAGTCTATAGGCTGCTATTCTAGGTGGAAATATCAGTACAGGATGCTCTGTAGTGCCCCGTTGGGAGACATCGTGTGACCCTGCACCAAAGAGGGTGGAATTGCGCACCCCAGCCTGAATGTTCTGCACTGCAGGGCTAGCCCAACACCAAGCACAGCAACATGGGTCTGGGTCCCCAAACCCAACCTGGGTTAAAACTAATCCAGTGGGGAGGGAATGCTGTGTGCCTCCAGCTGCTGGGTCCTCACGTGGCCTGGTCAAGACTGTCCGAAAGGCGTGAGACAGCGCCTTTGGGAGTCTCTTTGCCCACCTTGTGGGCGAGTTGTGGATGCTGCCAGATGCCAAGCCAGGGACTCTGAGCCCTGGAGAAGAGAGGAGAGAGCCCAGCCCAGGATCCCTGCTGAAACACACACACACATACACACACGAGTCTCCTCTGCTGTTGCCTGCCATGGCCAGCAACCGGGGCTCCGAGAGAACAGTGTGGCCGAGCAGCACCAAACGGCCATGGCCCTGGTCAGTGGCAGGGGCTTGTGATAGAGTCACGGTCCCCAATGGCAAATGATGTGCTAGGAGTGATAGTTGCGCCCAAAGAACTATTACAAGAGTCCACTTCCTCCTCGCTCTTATGGACACCCTGAAGGTCTTCTCCTCTGCGAACTGCAGCCTCCCGTTCTTGGTTTGTGTTTCTGAAACACGTGGGTGTCACTAAAAGAAGAGGGCAACAGCATCCACAGGGGGTCAGTGGGATGCAAGCAGCACTGCAGCACTGTGATGCAAGCCCCCTCCTTTTCACATGCACACCCCAAAGGGGCGGAGCTTGTGCAATGCTCAATGCAGCTGTCCCCTCTCTGATGAAAACACTGAGAGCTGAGGTCACTTCACACGCCAGACTTTGATATTGGTTACTGAAGATCAGAGCAGAAATGGCCAAAGAGGAGCCATGCGAAGGATCATTTTGAATCCCTTAATACTTGTGCGTGAGTACCCTGGAATTCTGTATGTACAATATTTATTTGCCTGTTTATCTGATTTATATGCCCACCCATCTTACTGTAGCAACTTCAGATGGCTAACAACACATAAAAACACAGTCAAAATGCACATCAAAACATTAGAAAATGTATGAAAGCAGTTAAAGTAAAACCTAATTCTACAATAAATTCAAACCACAAGCACATGGGCTCCCAACAGTCAACTGAACACCACCTTGACTAACTCAACCTGCTTAAATCTAGCTATATTCTCCGGGACAGTTGTGGACAAATCATAGCCAACTCCCCACTTTCACTTTCCACAGAGCCCACCGAGTGTTTCAAGCAAATTTTTGCCAGCCCCCCATCTCCTCTGACCCGGTTCCATCATTAAGGTTGTTTCCCCATCCCCTGACCATCTTTATTGCCTTCTTTTGGACCTGATCCATTTTGTCTGTGTCCTTGTTAACTGCAAAGGTCCCAGAACAAGAACCAGTTCTCCAGAGGAGCTCCAGCCAGCACAGAGTTATCTGCAACTAGTTACTTCTCCCAAAAGCAAGTCTTTAAATGTGGTGATGCAACGGTTAACTTGCCGGAGGACTGGGGAGACCCAGGTTTAAGTCCGCTGTCAGCCATGGAAGCCTGGTGGGTGACTTGGGTCAGTCCTTCTCTCTCAAGCAAAGGGGATAAAATGAAAGAGGTCCCCAAGTCATCCACCTTCAGCTCCTGGTGCATAAGTGGGACAGAAATCAAATACATACATGCACATATAAACCTGAATTTGCTGGGTTTATACAATGCGCTAGACCAGCTAAAATGCTGATGCTTCCACCGAACCAGGTAACTTCTCTCTTATAGCCAGGATTCGATTTTTCTGTTTTTCTTTTCCTCTTGTTCTTCTGGGCCCCATTTTCTATTCTGTCCTATCAAGATTGCTTGGAATTGTATCCTGTCTTTCTGCTGCCAGTTCTGTTTGTCTCCAGATTCTGATCTGGATGCTGTCCACGCTTCCTTGCAGCTGATAGGAATAACGCACCGATCAACTTTGACCAGTTATGCGGCTGGAATAACAGCCCTGCTTTCACAGCTGTGTCCCAGGATTAAGGCAAGAGCCTCACCGCAGAACTGCGGAAATAAAAAGTAAGAGCCCAGATGAAGCACGGCCTTTTCAAAAGATGCTTCGTTTCTCCCGGCTATCCTACAGGGGTTGCTTGTCTCTCTGTGACCTAAAGTAAGTTCTTAACCTTCAGGTGAGGAGGGCAACCGCTGCGCACACATGGGAGGATCTGCTCTGGCAGAGCTCTCCGCCCAAGTCCCCCTCCAAGGTCCCCCCCATCTCCTCAGTCCTGCTCTGCAAAAGGCAAAGGGCAGGATTAAGGGAAGAGGATAACCAGCAATCCCTCTCTGCTGAGACCTCGGTGAGAGTTGCTCTAACCAATCTGGCAAGAGACTTAGGAAAACAGGCTCAGGGGATCTGGACCATCCACGGAAAGTGCAGGAGAGGAAGCAAAATGAAGACCCTTCTCCTCCTCACTGCCAGCCTAGCCGTCACTCCTCCTCCCATTCACCAGCTGGAGGAAGGGAGATATGTGTGCAACCAGGAACGTCTGCATGGAGGAAGAATGTGGATGATGTGAGAATCTCTTGCAAGAAACAGGGCTCTGGGACCCGTCCCCCAAAAGGAATGTGGCTGATGGTGGAAGAGGGATTCCCAGGGAAG